AGGCTCCGTCTAAAAAATAAATAAATAAATAAAAACGATATTCTGAAGTACTATTTTTACAATCAGTTTCCTAGCACCTCAGTCCAGAGAACTTCATATGAATGTTTTAGAAATAAGTAGTATATCATATTCAAAGTTTGAGACATGCTACATACTCTATCTGCCTCTGAATGAATCTTTAATCCATTAACATATTTTGGTTCTGATATATTCTGCAGCTAAATAAAATTGTTTAAAACTTTGGTTAAATATAAAGCCCTCTTCTCACAGCACCTACTGATATCACAGAGAGCTGTGTGCCTCAGGATGTAGTTTATAAAACACTAAGGGATATAAAACAACTTCCAAACTATAAAGCTCCTCATAAGAAACATTACCTGAATCATAGATGATCCTCTTTTTCTTGTTTGATTGCTTCTGTTTGGAGACATCCTCCTTAGAAGAACTATTGACCTATAAACACCACAGTACAGTTAGAACACAAAGAAGCCTATGTAACTCACCCTTTCTCTCCTTTCTCATTAGATTTGGGCTCAGCAGTTCTCAACCAGGGGCAATCTTGCCCTTTCTCTTGGAGACATCTGCACTATTAGTCTGGAGACATTTCTATAATCTAACGCAGTGAATTTTTTTTTTTTTTTGAGGCCGAGTCTCACTATATCGCCCTCCGTAGAGTGCTGTGGTGTCACAGCTCACAACAACCTCAAACTCTTGGGCTTAAGAGGTTCTCTTGCCTCGGCCTCCCAAGTAGCTAGGACTACAGGTACCTGCCACAAAGCCCGGTTATCTTTTTGCTGCAGTTGTCGTTGTTGTTCAGCTGGCCCAGACTGGGTTTGAACCAGCCAGCCTGGGTGTATGTGACTGGCGCCATAACCGCTGTACAACAGGCGCCAAGCCTAATGCAGTGATTTTCAGCTGCTGTGCCATGGCACACTGGTGCATCATGAGAGGATCTTAGGTGTGTGAAAAAGTATGTGAAAACTCTTAAAGATCGTTAATTAATTACTTTCAAAAGAAGTTCAAAAGTCAGTAAGAATATTTTTTAACTTTTTTTTTTGATCAACATAATTTAAGTGGACCACAGAAATTCAACTATGGGTTCAAGTGTGCTGTGAGATAAAAACAGGTGAAAAACACTGCTCTGATGGGTAGACAGGGGTGCTACTAAACATCCCACGATGCACAGGACAGTCCTCCACGACTAAGAATTATCCCCCCTCACTGCCAATATTACCCTCATGGGCTAAAAACAGGCCAGATAATAATTGTATCAGGATGAAAAATAACAAATTCTAGAAAAAGCTTTATTATTCAGAGCTCCACTTTTAATACTAACCTATAAGTATATGTAACAAAGAATAAAAAGATACTAATGAAAAGACAAACAAAAATAAAAGTTAAGCTAATAGCCTACCACTACCAATGCCCACTGGAAAATAAAGCCAAGATAAAAGGTATTGTTTATATTTTGTAGTTAAACACCTCATGTCTAGCATTCAAATTTCCCCAAAAGCATCAAGAAAGCATAGAGCAAAAAGAAACTGATTATAATCAATTAAAAGGTAGAGAAATAAAGTATTTCTAGCCATTATAATAAAACTTCAAAAATGTTAAGAATAATCTTAAAAGGAAATGGAACAAAGGAACCATTATAATTTACACATACCACTGGACAGAGGACAGAGTAGCAACTACAATCAAAAGAGGAGAGGGTATCATGGATCATGGAAAGGAGAGAGCTACAGAAATTAAGTCCTAAAATCTGCTTGGGCACTTTGCCCAAATTTCTATCTCCTAAACTATGTATGTGCGGAACACCTTCAAGTGCTTAGCTAAGGTTAAAAGAAATGAACAAAGTTACAGTTGCTGCCCATCACAGAAGCAGCATAAGTTTGGAGCTTAGTTCAGCCAAGTTCGACGCCTAATAAACCAAAAGAATCAACACTCTTCGGAAGAATAAAATAGAATTTAAAGTTCCTACACTAGGGTGGCACCTGTGGCTCAAAGGAGTAGGGCACCAGTCCCATGTGCCACAGGTGGCAGGTTCAAACCCAGCCCTGGCCAAAAACTGCAAAAAAAAATAAAATAAAGTTCCTACTTTGTACCATTCAAAATGCCTGAGATAACTCCAAAATAACTAAACACACAAAGAAAAGAGGAAATGTGACCTGTTGTGGTTAACTTTATTTGTCAATCTGACTGGACCACAAGATGTCGAGATGCTTGGTCAATCATCATTCTGGGTGTCTCTGTGAGGGTGTTTTTGGTTAAGCTTATAAATCAACAGACTAAGTAAGTAAAGCAGACTGTCCTATCTGACTCGGTTGAGCCCAATCAGTTGAAGGCCTGAAAAGAACAAAAAGGCTGACCCTCTCCTGAGTGAGAGGAAATTCCTCCTACTCATCTGTCTTTGAACTGGACATCAGTTTTGTCCTGTCTTTGGGCTGAAACTGAAACATCAGCTGGTCTCCAGCCTGCAGGTCCTCAGACTGGAACCACTCAATCAGCTCTTCTAGTTCTCAGGCTTTCAGTCTTGGAGTGGAATTCCATCAGCTACCAGGGAGGCTGAGGTAAGAGGATCACTTGAGCCCAAGACTTTGAGATGGCTGTGAGCTATGATGCCATAGCACACTACCAAGAGCAACAAAGTTGAGACTCTGTCTCCAAAAAAATAAAGTACTGAATCCCAAAAACTGTCAATCTGAGATTCCACATCCAGCAAAAAATACCCTTCAAGAATGAAAGCAGGCTTGGCGCCTGTGGCTCAAGTGGCTAAGGTGCCAGCCACATATACCTAAGGTGGCAGGTTCGAATCCAGCCTGGGCCTGCCAAACAACAATGACGCTGCAACCAAAAAATAGCCAGGCATTGTGGCGGGTGCCTGTGATCTCAGCTATTTGAGAGGCTGAGGCAGGAGATTCACTTGAGCCCAGGAGTTGGAGGTTGCTGTCAGCTGTGATGCCATAGCACTCTACCCAGGGGGATAGCTTGAGGCTGTCTCAAAAAAAAAAAAAAGAATGAAAGCAAAGACAGTTTTAGATAACAAAAACCTACAGAATTCATCACCCCAAAGATCTACAAGAAATGCCAAAGAAAATCATTCAGGTTGAAAAAAATGGTATTGGATGAAAACTCAGATCTTCAATGAGAAATGAATAGCATTAGAACTTGCAAATACGTGGGTAAACTGAAAAGAATAATCTTTTCCTTTATTTCTTTAGTGTATACACATCTATTTAAAGCAAAATTACACTAAGCTGTGAAGTATTAACATCATAGATATAACACATACAACAACTAGGGCAAGAATGAAATAGCCAGGCACAGTGGCTCATGCCTGTAATTCTAGCACTCTGGGAGGCCAAGGCTGGTGGACTGCCTGAGCTCAGGAGTTCAAGACCAGCCTGACCAAAAACAAGACCTTGTCTCTAAAAAGACAGCCAAGTGTCATGATGGGCACCTGTAGTCCAGTTACTTTGGAGGCTGAGGCAAGAGGATCGCTTGAGACCAAGAGTTTAAGGTTGCTGTGAGCTATGACCCCATGGCATTGTACTAAGAGCAACATAAAGTGAGACTCTGTCTCAAAAAAAAAAAAAAGAGGTCGCAAATGGACTTGTAGAGTTGCAAGATTCTTACATTTTTACATGAAGTGGAACAATATATATTTTTTGAGAGAGCTGGTCGGCTCTGTTCCCATCATAGCTCACTACAGCCTTGAACTCCTAGGCTCAAGCAATCCTCCTGCCTCATCCTCCAGAGTAGCTTAGGACTACAGCAGTTTCCAGCTAATATTTTTCTATTTTTGTAGAAACAGGATCTTGCTGTGTTATCCAGGTGGTTCCCAAACTCTCAGCCTCTAGCGATCCTCCTCCCAGAGTGCTGGGATTACAGGTATGACCCACCTCACCTAGCCATAAAGGGGAACAATATTCAAGTACAATTACATTGCCTGCTTTCCACACTGACATTGTACCTTAACTCAGTCTGACCATTCACAAGTTACCTGGTAACATGGATAGTTTCTGAGTAAAACTGCCCATCAACAATGTGTTAATAACATAGCAGCTGTTCCCTGATTCTTTTCTGCCAGTCTCAATTCCCAACTGTCCCAAGTTCACCCCATTTTATTCTTACCTCTCAGCTGCTTATAATACAGAATCACTTTAGTGCCTCTACTATCTTAACATCTAGACTGGCAATTTTACAGAAACTATCCATGATACTGAGTAACTCATGATTGGTCAGCAAGGTGTTAACTTTGGAGGCTGATGGAGGAACAGGGTGAAGAAGAAAGCTTTCGGCTCGGCACCTGTAGCTCGGCAGCTAGGGCGCCAGCCACATATACCAGAGCTGGCAGGTTCAAACCCAGCCCAGGCCTGCCAAACAACAACAACTACAACCAAAAAATAGCCAGGCATTATGACAGGCTCCTGTAGT